GCCTTGCAATCAGTGCTTGTATCCACTTTTTGCCCGCGGGCATGGTTGATTCTGATGATACAATTGACCGTGGCTTCATCTTGTGCACGCGATATGATGCAGTTTAGTCACACGGTTGTTGTCTTTGTGGGGAAACAATCACTGATCGCTGAATTGACGATGTACATGGGTTTCCAAGTGCTGCTTTTCACAGCCGTCGGCTTCATCCAGGCGTTCATCACGCAATGGCACTCCCCGGTTCACGTTTCCTTCTCGTTTGACGATTCAGATCATACCGCTTCGAAGCATTGTTACTTTGGACTGCTTTGGTCCATCCTTGTGATATTATTCATTATTGTCAACATAGCGCACACTGGAGTCGGTTACTCTATTCGTTATGTGGACAAATCGTAGTATGCTTGGCGGATCCGGTTCCGGATTTGCCTATCACTGCGGCCTCCTTAGGACAACCACAGGACGCCTGCACCTACAGGACAATGGGTGGCTTGCGCTGTGCAACCGACAGCTCCATCCACATATCCAACCAACATAGAATTTCAGGGAAAGCAAACACACAAAATTGACACAGAAGATGCAATAATAGAACTGAACTGAACAAATAACATAAAGTGGAATAACTTTTGTCTAGATTAAAAAGATATGGTCTAAATGTAAGTCGGTTTAACCCAACTTCAGTGAGGCAGCATCATGTATGCAATATCAACCTCAGCGTGAGCCACTCATCGTAGCATATATATATATATATATATATATATATATATGGCGGGAGAGCCTATGGTGCGATGTGGCTGGTGGTGGCTAGATCTTGACAGCTAGTCTATCCACTGCCGCTACTGTTCTGCCATTGGCTTATGTCCTGGACGCCTCGTGGCGACTGCTGGGTGGGAGTTGGTTTACGTCCTTCTCCCTGCTAAAATCCAGAACACCAATCCGCATGAGTCAGTGAACTGACCATGTGCTAGACCCGCTGTCTTTCGAGTGTACATTTAATCTAAGGCTTTGGCTGAGGACCCGAGTCGTTCTCCTGTCAAATGTAAGCGCCCTGCCCGTATCCTAGTCCATCCTCTTCGGAGGTTAGGAAATGGTCGATGGCCCTCTTCCCGTAAAACCTAGTCATGGGAGACAGCAGGTCTACGGGTTATAAGCTTACAGCTCGATTGGCATATAGCATGAGCGCCACGCATTGTCTCCGATGGTGAGAGGTCACATCCGGGTGTTCAATGGTTTGCTACTGCCCACCTCAAGCCAGGCAGCCCCTGGTCAAATTGGTGCGAATCCTCCAAAACCCACCTGTGTCTGGCCGTGGTCGTAGGTGCGTCTCATACCACGGTCGCAAAACATAAACCAATCGTTCCAATACCTCAAAGTCTGCGTGTGACGGCCGTCAAGCAGATCCCAATCTGTCTCTGCAATCACATTCCCGAGCTGGATCCGCTCCCTCACTGCCTTGTGGGTCAGGTTATTAAGCCAAAAGCTCCGGGCGGAAACCCTCAAGCAAACCTCCAAACAACCCACTGCCTTGTGGGTCAGGCTATTGAGCCAAAAGCTCCGGGTGGAGTCCCTCAAGCAAACGTCGGAAGCACAACCGCCACCTCGCGTGCGACTGCCCAACAATGCAATCGTATGCCTGCGCGCAAAGCACTCAGCATCGGGTGCTGGAACGTGCGCACACTACTGGACCGGAACTCGAGTTAGCGCCCTGAGCGACGCACTGTACTGGTCGCGATGGAACTGTTGCGCTACAGCATCGATATTGCGGCGATCAGGGACTTGGCTCGCTGAGCAAGGTAAGCTGCATGAAGCAGGTGCTGGCTACACATTCTACTGGGTGGGCAACGCCACCTCAGCACCACGTGAACATGGGGTCGGATTTGCACTATCCGATCGCCTAAATGGCCAGCTGGTGGGTGAACCAACAGGCATCAATGCGCGGCTGATGACTGTTCGCGTACGACTCGGAAGAGGTAAGTTTGCCACTTGTATAAGCACCTACGGCACGACCAGGTGTTATCCTGATGACACGCGTGATCAGTTCTACACTGAGCTATCCTACGTGATACGGTCTGTGCCGAGGAGCGACCGACTATTTCTGCTGGGTGATTTCAACACGCGCGTTGGGCGTGATGCATCGGTGTGGACAGATGTTATCGGTGCGCATGGCATTGGCTCAGCGGATGCGAACGGTGACAGGCTGCTCACACTGTGTGCACTCAGCCTGACGATCACGAACACTCGGTTTGCACTGAGTGCGAGTGATTTAGCCACTTGAACGCACTCACTGAATGGTCACGCTCACCTGCTCGACTATGTCATCATGCGTCAGCGTGATATGCGTGAAGTGCGCATGACACGTGTACTGCGTGGAGCTGAGTGTGGCACTGATCACAAGTTGGTGCAGACCAAACTGTACATATAGTTTCGTAAATCTATGTATTGCACTCCCGCCGTGAATCGGCGTAAATCTAACATTCTCTCCCTCGGTACTGTGGCGAAACGTATTGAGCTGGAGAAGTCGGTAGCTGCACGCCTGTGTGATGTGGACTGCATAGCCACAGTGGGCGACCTGTGGCACCACATTCGTGACCAGGTGACAGCTGCTGCCGAGGAGACCATCGGGCGCGCAAACTGTAAGCGGCGTGATTGGTTTGAGGAGAACAATGTGACGATTGGCGCATTGGTGTCGAAGAAGAAAGCAGCATTTGCTGCACATGTTGCAGACCCCAGTGACTTGGTGAAGAAGAGTCAGTTTCGCAAACTTCGACGACGGCTGACCCGAGAGCTCCGTCGCATAAAAAGTGCATGGTGAACGGAGAAGACGAAGCAGATGGAATGCTATGTCGAGCACCGCCAACACAAGGAATTGTTTGATTCCTCGAAGGCGGTGTATGGACGGAAATTGGGGCCGCTGATGGATGGTAGTTCATGCGCTACCTGCACACAGACTGCAGACATAATGCAGATCTGGCAAAACCACTTTGATTGTCTCTTGAACAACCGTTCAGAGATCGACTGGCCTACTTTGAACGGCCTCAAGCAGCACGATGTGAAAATGTGTCTGGCGGACACGCCGACACTGGATGAGCCGCAGCGAGCACTTGCCTAGCTGCGAAACGGAAAGTGAGCCGGTGCCAATGGGATCCTGCCTGAAGTATTTAAATATGGCGGACCAGCGTTGGTGACTGCGGTGCACCACTTGGTGCAACGTGTCTAGATTGAGGCGGAGGTGCCTCCTAGCTAAAAGATGCCCTTGTGCTACCACTGTACAAAGGCAATGGGAGCATGCAGTGTTGCACGGATTGTGGCATCAACTTGCTGAGTTGTGTGGACAAGTTGATTGCCCGAATCCTGCTCAACCGCCTCGTCAGTCAGATTGTGGAACCGTAGGTGGCGGAAGAGCAATGTGGGTTCCTTTCTGGTTACAACACTATAGATATGGTGTTTGCAGCTATTATATGGTCAGCTGAGTGTTGGGAAGTGGCATGTGGAGAAACCGAAGCTTCGTTACCAGGACATGATCAAAGTGAGCTTCTCATCTTGATTGCCGGTCATGGGTATCGAAGCGGTTTGTCGGCGTGCATTTCACGATCTGATCACGAAAGCCGTTGCCGAGGTGCAAGAGAAAGCCCTCGTGCATGTAGAGAAGAAGCGGCAACTGCGGAAGCGTCAGGCGCCGATGGGATGTACTCCATCGACTTCGAGTACATGGTGCTGTAGCACATGCGGTCGCGAGTGCCTGAGTCAGGCAGGCCTAATGAGCCATAAGCGAGGCCACTCTTGGCCAACACCGAAACGACGACGAGTCCTGCAGAGATCGTAGACAGAACCCGCGCAGCGTCTGTAGGTACGTTACATTCGATTTACTAACCGCGTGCTTGCACGCTGAGTCACTTTATTTCAGGTGGCAGGTTTGCCATATTGTCCTAATGCTTTTTCCCAATCTTAATATATCCCTGAACTTTCTTCTTTGAACTTGCACACGTCCCTTTAACTGATCTAGCTAAATTCGATAACGCTTTCGCGTTTGTGGCATTTTCTTAACATATATTTTTTGACGTCTTGAACTTATCGCGGGTTTGTTCGTAACCAATTTATTTTATGTGCTCATTTAGTGAAGAGTTATGTCACCGTATCTGTATGCATCATTCGATTTAGTTTATTTGATATTGTCGTTTGCTTGATATCCCAGGTAAGGCTGTGCTTGATGTGCATGTTGACAAGGGGCCTACCTGTCTGTTTCCCACTACGTCCTTCATACTGTCTCCAGGAGACAGTTGCTCGTTGCTGGAGGAGACGGAGTGCACAGTCCTTGTGGCCGTGCTAGGCTCGAAGAGTGGTTCCATGCACTCAGTGTGGAGCGGGCTACAGTCCAGCCACCACTTTGTGTTTGTCTGTGAAGGAGTGTGGGCCAGCTCCGTTGATGAAACGTGGCTCCCATCCACACGTCTTATTACTTTGGGTTCACACCAGATACGGTGTGTGTAGAATTGTGGGTAGCGCAGCGCAAGCCACCCATTGTCCCTCTGTAGGCGTAGGCGTCCTTTGGCTGTACCCTTGGCGGCCACAGTGACGGGCAACTCCGGACACGGATGCCGCCAATCCATATATCTTCCTTTACCTCGCCTACGAGCAGATCTATTGCATCCTCAAAACCTTTTGATGCTTTCTATTTTCAAATCTAATTCTTCTGTACCCCCATGTTATTGGTGCACTCTTTATCCCCACATCCTCTGTTGCAGCACGTTCACTCATAATATGATTGTCACTGTTTTCTCCTTGGCCGCTCTAATTTCTGCCCCAGAAGGAATATCTGTAATGCGATTAAATTGGTCCCTTGTTGTGTTTCTATTCTCTTCATGTCCAGCAAACTCATGGCGTGTGAACTTTTTGTATTGAACTCATATGCATGCCTTGCTCGTGCAGCGGGCACACATTTCCAAAGACTGCTGTCTCATTGGTCTTGCTCCTTCTCCCTCATTTATTTGGTTTTTGTCTTTCCGCAGATGACCACGCTGACACATCGATAGTGGACCAGGTGGAGTCATCCCACTTTGTCCAAGTGCATGATTTATCCGTGAAGGAACAGCAGCTCCGCTTTTATGCCCATCCTATGGACATATCGGAGGACGGAGTTTCCCCTGGAGATGAGTTCGATACAACATCGGATTCAAACGTGACGCCATACCAGGGCGTCACTGAGGATTATTTAAGCAATGGGTTTTATTCACTGCTGGAGAATAGAAACGACATACCTTCCGAACATTGCCCCGATGCAGACGAGCCCGATGACTCGGTCACAGACACGGATGTGGATCTATTGGTTTTGCGTCGATATCCTACCTGCGAACAGTCTCTGGTCGACACTGTTGATGTTCTGGATGATGCAGACTATTCGGAACAACTACACCAATCCTCCGAGTCTTGGGGTGCAATTCGATGCGTATCCATCCTCAAACTACCCGACCGGAGTGTTGATCTGTCAAGTAAGCACCCTACGCAATCCTGTATTAGCTGCGAGATTTCATCGTTGACGGACTGTTGGTCCTTTTGTTAATGTAGTTTAACCACGGTAGTGCAATCTCATATGGTATCTGTTGAGTGTTTGTCTACATTTTTAGCTTTTTGTGCTTCTCAGTTTTGAATGCACCTTACTTTCTTTTGAACTTCGAGGCCTCGTTTTGCCTCACAGATGCCCAGTTAGTCTGGTTAAGAAGTTCATAGCTTGATTGATATCTATCAGTTCACAGATTTTTCACAATCTGTTCACGATGTCTCGAAGGCCCATATATCCTCTCATGATTACTTTGTCAATGTGAATACGTGGTACACCGATCCAGAAATCCATGTTGAAGTGGCCTTGATTCCTCATCCACCCGATGGTAAAACGTTCCAAGCTGCATATCTCGTATCTCTCTTGACTGCAATGTGCAGAGGGTCCGAACTGCCTGTGACTCGGCACTATACTGTTTACGGACGACCAACTGTGGGAGTCGATCTCAACCTGGGATGAGTTACTGCACCATGCGTATACGCACAACAGCACCGTACTTCGGTGTTTGCCCGGGTAGTTTAACCTTACCGCCCTGGTGCAAACGTGGTGGTCACGCTGCCCCGGACGCCGCTAGCAATGCAAACTGATGTGAACGTATACATTTTGTGACAGTTCGAATCCCGTGAAGCAATGCTTACATCATCTCCCTTTTTCCAACAACTAGGTTTAACGACAACTAACGCTGCTGTTTCGGTCGAATCCCTTCAACGTACATGCGTCGAAATCTATCGCGCTGTGCATTTGTCACATTTTGGGGCTTAGCTTCGTTCTTTAAACCTTCTTTGCCCCTCGGTACTCACTACATCCTACTCCCGGATCAACAACTTCGAGTACTTTCTGCTTCTTTGATGTAGGAACCTAGAGTTGACAGACTGGTGTCCAATCATTCTGCACAGTAAGAACGAACAGGAACTCCTTCGCAATTGATGGCGGTTAGTACATCCATCCCACTTTGATAAACAATCATGTTCGCTAAACGACAGACCACAGTTTTTCATTAAAACACTAAACCTAGCTCCTTTAGATCTAGAGTGCTCAATCGTCTTATCTGTAGCCATCGGTGGTGAGTACAGTTAGTCCCAAAAGTCTTGTCCCATTTTACTCTATTCCTCGAGAACCAAAGGTCACGCCTTCGGGTGAGAGGAAAGCGCACTAAATTGCCAACTGTTCATGTTGGTCTATCTACAAATGCGTCTCACCTGGTCACATGGGTGTGAACTACCGAAGTCGTGGCCGTATGCATACATCTGAGTACAGGTGTACTTGCCAACCTCGTCCATCGTGAGAACGCTGGATGGGCTCGGATGGTTGTGTTGAAGTCAACCACGGCACGCCACAGGAAATGTTCACCGATCGATATATACCGTGTTTCGGGCTGGTTGGAGCGAATACAGGCCTGCGAAATCAAGACAGCGGTGCATCATTACCGGGCGATTGCAGGATAATTGTGATGGCACTTGGACAGACCTAACTGACCTGAGCAAGGAGTGTTCAATAGGTGCTTAGTGTTCTCCCAGCTAAGAACAAAAAGGTTATTGGCAACGCTCTTGTAGACTGAAAGTTAGCTTCCAACAACCCACCTTTGCAAAATAGGCCTTCCTCACAATTTGACCTTGCAAATATGAAATGTAACGTTTTGAGAAAGGAGCCCTGAAAAGCTATGCCGCCTACAGACTGCTTGCTGCCGCATAGCCTATTCTCCCATCAGTCTTGAGGGTTTATTCCAACATATTCATTCGTGAGGCAATATTCCAGTAGCACGGAACTGATAAGCTGCATTTCTAGGCAATATCTAATCCTCGCGGATGCTAAGATTCACGTTTTCCACAAAGCACGAAGCTCATTGGCTCGCAGAATTGATTGACAAATCGTGAGACCACAGCACACGCATGTGAGCTCACGCATACTGTGCACTACAAGCCAGTTATCTCTATGGTCACTTTTCTAACACATGTTGTTACAAACTCCGATTATCAAATTCAAAGGAATCGATAAGCCACGCTTTCACGGTCTGTATTCATATCGATTCGTTGGACCATCTCTCTTTCCCCTTTGTGTGACCGATATGTTATTGTTTAGAAGCACTCATCTCACGCCGTAATCTGTACACCGATGAACAGGATACAAATACGAAACCACGTAGCCTATTCTCACATCGCCGTCTCGTTCACATCCTCCCCGTATTCCTTAGGCATAATCATGTAAAAACAAGTATTACCATTGTGATTCAAGTGGCATAGACGTGATCAGTCTAGGCGCTGTCGAATCAGCTTTGCCCATGGATTGCATTCTGGCCCTGCGCACTGTTGGCACCATTTGCCCGTGCACCATTGTAGTCCAGAAATCGGTGATAACGGTGAATACGTATATTAACATAAACAGCATAAAGCTGGACAACAACAATTGGCTCATACAGAGAGTGCAACAAACGGCGTTGCACATAAAAAATCTTGCTGTAACCTTGGCCTATCGTGCACGGAAGACAAGCCAGACACTCCCACTCGACAAACCTTTGCTCACAAGGAACTGCAGAACAAACAATTACTACGCAACAAAAAAGCGATGACAGTGATATTTTCAAACGTCCCAGAGCCCAATAGCGAATCACTAAAAGGTAGACAAGCTGAGGAGCGAAACCGCTAGGCTGAAATAACCTGCGCACTCAGACTGAAAGCTCTCCCAGCTAGTCTTTACACGCTTTTCACGAAATCCATCATCTCCAAACGTAGGAGAACCTCGGTTACTGCGAGTAAGGTTTGACAACACACGCGACCTGGAAGATGTTCTCTTAGCAAGTCACATTCTAGTGTACTATTCTGTCAGTGCCCGCATTTTTCCTGACAGGCCATGGGCAGAGAAACAGAAGCTGAAATCCAACCCTAGTTCGTCAAGACAAAATGAGAGAAAGGAAATGGTACTGGTTCATGGTGTGCCAGAATTGAAGCATGACGATAGCAGTGAACGACAGAAGCACGACATCGAAGAATGACGGTACATCGCAGAACTATACGACATGAAGAATGTTGTGGCTTTTGACGTCACCCGTCTAATTGCTTCCACAAAGTACCAAGGTAGCGGGCCACGAATTTCGAAAGTTATCTTGGCTGCTCCCGAAATGGTATCAGTGGTGATCCAAGCATGGCATGACAACAAGAAACTTGGGCCACCAGAAGTACGGTTAAAACACTCCTTCAATTAATACAAACCTCAGATACAGATGAGCAAGCCTCAATTGTACCTATCTCAGGTCAGCCAACTGTGCAAACAACCGGCCGGCACTATTTGTGCCGCTCACTCACAACGAACCGAGCTCGTACTGCGTCAACAAACCCAATGTTGCTACACCAACATTCAGGGGTTGTATTCTATACTCGGGACTGTGCCATGGACATGAAAAAACAACTTGAGACCTCATACCAGTTACTGAAACTTGGATTTTAAACGACAGACTTGATCCAGAGATTTAATTCAGTGAGATGTCAATCATTCGAAATGATCGTCCATCTCGCGGTGGCGGTAGTGCCCTCTACTATCGAGATTACTTGGAATGTGAGGCCCTTACCAAAAATTCCCTTGTTATTCCCGACACACTATTTTGCCGATTGCACCTAGCAGGTCGAGATGTCGGTTCACAGAAAACGTGTTTGCCTCCTAGCACTTATCTGGAGGCCTCTGAACTCGTCTGAAAACAGCGATAACATTTTGTTAAACGCCCTCCGCTATGCTGTTTTACAAAAGTACTCTCACTATTTTATAATGCGCGATTTCAATGTTCCTTCGATAGCATCATTTCAGTCGAAGCTCCTTGAATTCATGAAAATGGCAATTTTGTAAAACCATGTGTATCGAGCAACCAGGCACCGCGGTTCCAACAAGCCATCACTTCTGGACTTAATCCTGACTAATGAAGAATTGATGGTTGAGTCAGTAGCATACGATCCTCCACTGGGCCGTAGCGACCATTCAGTCCTAACGTTTGGTTATGTGTGTTATACCATTATTGTTGATAAAGAAAGAGCGACTCAACGAACTAGTACGGACAAATTTAAGCTGCACAAGTTAGCGGCAACCGTTGGCTGGGACCTAAAACGCACAATTCAACGAATAGCGCGTGGAATGCACTGAAAGATAAACCTAATTGGGTCATACAATCAGCATCAAAGGTTGTATCATTACGAGCATCGCGCCGGACCAATACGTGGATCCGGAGAAGAACACGTAAATGGATCAACCAAAGGGAAGCAACATTCGCTGAGCCCATGTGATATCACATGACAGAAGTACGAAGTCATCAGAAACTACCGCACGTCACTCATTAGAGTCGATAAGTACGAATGGCAGGAGAACATGGTGCTGAAATTTACGAGTAACATCAAACTACTATACAGATTTGTGAATGGTAAAAGAAAGGTTAAGCCTGTAATACCACTACTCAAGACGGCCAGTGGCCTAACAACTACTACTGTGGATGCCGAGAACGCTCTATTCTTGCAGTTTGGCTCGGTAGCTACCAACACCATGGAACCTTCGCCCTATCAACTCCCAACAAATGTCGTTGGCTTATCCAGTGTCAGCAGCTGTTGCAAGCAAATTACAGTCTCTCCGAGAGTACAGTGTCCCTTGAATCGACATGATCTGCCCAAAAGTACTGCAAACCCTTTCTCCCACCAAAACAGCACCACTTGCAACCTTTTTCCAGGACCTGCTTAACTCACATACACTCCCATCTGAGTGGAAAAATGGAATTATCACTCCAATATACAAGTGAGGTAAGCGATCGGATACTGCTAACTACCGACCTATTACTCTTCTCCCTGTTTTATCAAAAGTGATGGAATCAGTAATCCCAGATGAACTGACGCGATACCTTAAAACTCAACAAATAATTTCTGATGCCCAACATGCTTTCGGACGCAAACGATCTTGTCTCAC